TTGAGGGTCCTTGCCTATGACAGGCATATGACCCAGTTCCGGCAAAGGAGGTATCGAGGAAGTTTACTGGGAGCTTCTGGGAAAGATTTCGTCACGGATGAAAAGGAGACCCACGGGAAGATGAGAGAGCATGGAGCCTGGGGGATGATGAGTAAGGAGGCTGAGCTCATGAGAAGAGCCCACCCCCTTTGGAAGTCCAGCATGTCCTTGCAGAGAAGGCTGGACTGCATGAAGGGACAACGGAGACCCACTGAATTGCTGACTTTACAATATATAGAATGGATTAAAGGGGGAGGGTGTGGGAGCAGGACACCAGTTAGGAAGCAGCCAGATGAACTGCAATCATGCTGAGGCTTAGAGGGAAGTTTCTACAAGCTGCAGCACAAGAGGAGATGGGGTGATAGGGAGGTAGAATTGCTGGCCGGCTGTTCCCAGGGGTCTCAAGAACTTGTACCCCAATGCTATGATATCCTCAGAAGCTCCATTCTTGGCTGTCTACACACGTCCAGTTACACTGGTAACTCATTTCCAGAATCAACGTTTTTCAGGAAATGGGACAAAACTGTTTTATTTAAACTAATGGTCCAACTATCCAATTTTGCTTTGCGCTACGTGAGCACAATTTGTCTGCCACACAGACCTGATTCAACCTTCAGCGGGGCTGGGCCAGTATGTCACCAGTGAAACCTACAGGCAAGACACATCCCTTCCCAGTGACTCATGTGCACCGTTTCAGGAAAGGCCAGGTTGAAAGTGCACATATGTGATTTACTGCTGACTTTCACAAGAGTCATACAGCAGAGATGTTGCTCAGCTCCTCACAGGTTTAGAAACGAGCCCACATTAAGAGTAAGTTGGGGCCGGGCACAGTGGCTCACGCCTGTGATCCTAGCACTGTGGGAGGCCGAGGCAGGTGGATCACTCAAGCCCAGGATTTTGAGACCAGCCTGGGTAACTTAGCAAGACCCCCATCTCTACAAAAATATTTAAAAATCAGCCGGGTGTGATGGCGCATGCTTTTAGTCCCAGCTGCTCAGGAGTCTGAGATGGAAGAATCACTTGAGTCCAGGAAGTGGAGGCTGCAGTAAGCTGAGATTATGCCATTGCACCCCAGCCTGGGTGACAGAGAAAGATCCTGTCTCAAAAAAAGTAAGTGTGATGAGAGAGTGACCTGCTCAGAACCAAGCAAGGGAAAAGAGTAACAGATGGCAGAGAACAGAGCAAGCAAGGGAGGACATAGGGACAGATAATAGGAGGATATGCCCCTGGTGGACAATACAGGTGGTTCCCAGCCAACTTTATTATTAACACATCCTCACTGAAAAATAAAATTACCTCCCCAACACACACACACACCCCCCTCAGTTTCTAAGGGTAACCTGTTTAGTTTGATTCCTCCCATAGTCTTTCTGTACTTAATCAAATATATATATATACACACACACACATATATATGTGTATATATGTGTATATATGTGTGTATATATACATTTTAAAAGATGTAGACATATATGTGTGTGTGTGTATGTGTGTGTGTATATATATATATGTCTACATCTTTTTAAAAAGTCATTTGTGAGCTGGGCATGGTGGCTCATGCCTGTAATCCCAGCACTTTAGGAGGCTGAGGTGGGTGGATCACTTGAGGTCAGGAGTTCAAGATCAGCCTGGTCAACATGGTGAAACTCCATCTCTACTAAAAATACAAAAAATTAGCAGGGCATGGTGGCATACGCCTGTAATCCCAGCTACTCGGGAGGCTGAGGCAGGAAAATCACTTGAACCCAGGAGTCGGGGGTTACAGTGAACTGAAATAGCCCCACTGCACTCCAGCCTAGGTGACAGAGTGAGACTCCATCTCAATAAATAAATAAATAAATAAATAAATAAATAAACAAACAAATAAATAAATAAATATAAATAGTTGTTTGTGTAGTATCATCATATTTAATGTCTTTCTCAGTGAATGATACATCTTGGACATTCTTTCACATCAGATAGCTCTACCTCATTCTTTCTGGTGATTTCATAGTATGCCAGCATGAGTCTATGCCACAATTTACTTAGCATAGCTCCTAGTGCTGGGCATTGAGGTTGGTGACCATTTTTCACCATTAATTAATCAGCAATGAAATTAATCAGCAATGAAATTAATCAGCAATGAAAACCCTTGGACATATATTCCTGAGCACATGTGTGAGTTATTCTGCATGATTATCTATTTCTATAAACTGATTTTCCAGCCTCACTTTCATTGATGTGCCTGGAAAGTCAGTAGCATGACAGACTTGGGTCTTGGTCACTGACCAGGGACAGTCGAATATTTTTAAACACTGTCATTATTTACCCATTCAACCAGAAAGAATAAAAATGTAATGCCACGGGAATTCTCAGAACAGCATCCTCTCCTCTTTGAATTCAGGCTTTCAGAACTAGACAGGCTAATGCTCCCAACAACTCATGTTCAGGCCACACTGGGCACTTTGTCACATACTAGTTCACCTGATCCCCGAGTTAGCCCTGGAAAATGGGTATTATTAGCATAGAAATGCTAATAATTTTTTTTGATACATGAGGAAACTGAGGCTCAGAGAGGACAAGATATCTGACCAAGGTCACACAGCTCATAAATGGCAGAGGATTCAGAAACCAAAGACGAAGGTGATGGAATCCTGCCTTCTTTCTAAATCCGTGACATAGGCTATATCATGGTGCCTCTTCAGAGGTTTACTATGGACAGTTAGCTAAAAAAGCAAGTGAAGTGAATATCTGCCTAGGTGACTGAGTTTGCAGGATGTATTAGTTTCCTCCTGCTGCTGTGACAAATTGTCCCAAACTTCATGGCTTAGAACAACACAATTAACTATCTTCTTACAGTTCTGGAGGTCAGATGTCCAAAACAGATCTGCAAATGCCTTCCACCTCCAAATCATAAGGCAGACCCAAACTTGCCTTTTTGTGGACGCCAAGAGCTCCTTCTGGATGCTCTGGCTGAGACTACATTCCTTTCCTTTTCTAGCTCCTAGAGGCTGCCCGTATTCCTTGGCTACTGACCCTTGTCCAGCAACTGTAGCATTCTGATCTCTACTTCCATCATCAGGTCTCCCTCTCTAACTGTGACCCACCAGGAAAATAAAGGATAACCTCCCTGTCCCAACATCCTTAAAGTAATCCCATCTGCAAAGTCCCTTTTGCCACGTAACCAGTTCTGGGGATCAGGTTGTGAACATCTTTCGGAAGCTATTATTCTGCCTGTCACCTAAGGGGGTTCCTAGCAGAGAGATTTAGAGCGAGGGCCCTGCAAAGACCCCAGATTCAAATACTTTATCATTTGCTAGCAGATCCAATACCTAACTTCTCTGAGTCTTAACAGCCTCACCTGAAAAACTAGAATAATAGAATCTTCCTTCTGGGGCCGTTTTGAGTATCAAGTAACACAATGTATGGCATGCACGTGAAACACAGTGTTCAATAAAAGGTAGGGAAGTTTCAGAGGAACTAACATGTAGAGGGAGAGGGCTGTGGAGGGGAGGAGGATAAGGAGAAACATGCTTTCTTTGGTAGCTTCTTCAGTTTTGCCTGGGCCTCAGCTTTGGCTGAGGATTTCGTCAGCCACTCCCCAGATCAGCCAGGGTGAGCCTGCTTAAATGGAACACTCTGAAGATGATATCCTGTGATACACAAGACCTGCCCAGTTGGGTCTGCAGTAGAGTGGGGCGGGTCTGGGATGATCCTGGCATGGAAAAGTACAGCAGCTCTTTGCCTTCAGATTAGGAGCTGGGACAGCAGTTCTGACATTATCACCCTCCTGCCCCCACCCCAGGCCTCTCCAAAGTCCGTCTTGCAGAGTCAAATGAAAACCAGATTCCTGGTCTTATCTGAGAGCTACGTGACTGTTTTCTGTCACTTCTTTGGAGCCTGGGAAGGTCCCCACATGCATTGTCTAAACTTTGGGATGAACACACACAGCTCTTAAATGGGAGCGTATTATTATAAGTACCTGCCTACACAAAGGGTTCTCCCCATTCGCTAAAATCATGGGTTATTATTTGGGGCTTTCATTCATCCAACAAATATTTATTCAGCATTTGCAGGTGGCCAGGCAAGGTGAAACTTCTCCCAGGGTGGAGAGTATGTGCAAACAGTAGGAATTATGCTATGGGAGGGAGAGCAGAAGCTCTGCAGTGGACCAACTTGGGTCTAGATCCTGATACTTCCCAGCCGTGTTTTCATTGGGCGAAATGACCTCACCTCCTTAAGCCTCAGCTTTCTCTTCCATAAAGTGGGCATGACCAATAACCGCCTCCCAGGTTATGAGGACTAAATGAGATGGTTCAGGGGATGTCGGTGGTAACCCCGTGCGTGGTTCATAGTAAGTAGGTGAGGAATAGCAGTTGCTGTTACAGACTTGGAGACTGTTTCCCCAATTGTCTTCCCACCCCCAAATCATAAGGCAGACCCAAACTTGCCTTTTTGTGGACGCCAAGGTTCTGTTGAGCTGTTAGGGTGCAAGTTAAGAAGCCAGAATAGCGGGGTGGGGGGAGAAATGCCCACATGTTTCCACTCTGCAGGTATACACACGTGGACACCATATGTACCCATGAATTCCGCCTTTGGAAGTGAACTTGATTGCAGCCTATTTTCGTCTGGAGGCGGTGGATTCCCGGTAGGAGGCGCCTTCAGTCCTCGGCTCATCCTGTGACGCCCGCCAGCTGCCTATCTGCTTCTCAGTGTTTGAACTCCAAAGGGCTGGACGCTCACCCAAGAAGGGGACCCCGGCCTGACCTCTCTCGGAATTCAAAAAAATCTAAGGTTGAGCGAGGGACTGGGAGTTGGCTCTTTCCTCTGTGTTTAGAATCCACGTTTTTTGGCAGTCTGGCTGAAACCAGCCCACCCTAGTTTGGGCGCCAGAGCAATGCGGTTCCGAGGGCAAATCTCCAAGGCGCGGAGGCAGAACCGCGGGTAAGAGGCGTCCGCGCCGACTTTGGGTTTGCCCTCCCCGGAGCCAGGACTCGGCGGCACCTCTGGGCCTCCATGGATCCGAACAGAGGCTGGCTGCCCGTCTGCCACTCGCGGGCTGGGAGAACGCCAGCCGGTGCCTTGCCGGGAAAGTTCTCGGCAAAGCTGTGGATGAGCCCTCAGCAGGGGAAGCTCCCGGTGGAGCGCGCCCCCATCCAGTGCCCGCGCGCAAGAACCCGGAATGGGCCCCACCTGGACCGGGACTCAGGCATGCGATCCCGAGAGCTCCCTGGGGACCAGGCATCGGGTGGGGACCCTGGACTAGGGGTGAGCTGACTCGGTTTTTAAAAACTCGCTTCCACCTTCCCTACTTCTGCTCGTCACTCACCTCGCTGGGCACCAGCCCAGGGCAGAAGTGGGAGAAGGAGGCGGTGGCCTCCCCGGGAAGGAGGAGAAGTGAGTGTCTCGCCAGGTAAAGGCTGGGCGGCTGGCGGAGCTCTGCCTGGCGTCTGCGCCTGGTGTGGGACGGAAGCGGGTCTCCCAGCTCTACTTAAACCCCTAAAACCTGGGACTTCTGGCTTGAGACATTCCCCGACCACCACCCGTCACACACACGCGCGCGCACACACACGCATGCACACCGATTATCTGGGCCCTAGGGAGGATGGGGGAGCAGGGCTCTATTTTCTCCTTATCCAACTCGGCTGACAAGGGTGGGGAAGAACTTAGGCCCAGCCCCCGGCCCGCACTCAGCGTACTCCAGCGGCTGACGCTGGGGAGTGGGTGCCCGCCCCGCTCAGCTGCGATCCCTCGCCTCGGGCCCGGGGGTGGCGCCGAGGGCCGGGAGGGAGGGTCGGCCGGTGGGCGGTGCTTCTTGGGGCGAGAGGCTGCTCCCGGCCGGCGCCGCCCTCCTCCTCCCGCGGTCCCTCCCTCCCTCACGCCGGCGCTCCCAGGCCGCGCTTCCTGCGTCCCCATCGCGGTCCCCGAGAGGGCAGTTCGCCCTCTCCGCCACCGCGTTCCCTCGGCTGAGAATCCTCCGAATCCCAGCCCCGCGATCGCGGCGCCCCCCGAGGAGGCCGCCTGGGAGGGGCGCGGGGGTCGCGAAGCCCCCAGCCCCGGGCCGCCCAGCCGAGACGGAGCCGGACCCGCCGCCTCCCGGGTGAGTCTGAGCCGCCGCGCCTTGCGCCCGCCGCTTCCCGCGGAGCGCTGTGGGTTTCCCTCAGGGTCGGGTAAGGGGGCCGAGGCCCGTCTGGGTCGCCTGTCCGTCCGTCCGTCCGCCGAGTGCTTCCCGTCTGGGGTCGACCACCTGCACCCCGCACCCTCTGCGACCGCGCCCCGCCGGTGCGGGACACTCCCGCCTCCCGGGCACCGCGCCCGGCCAGCTGGCCTCGGCTGGTGAAGGCGGCTGGCCTTGGGGGCCCCCTGTTGGCGGGGACAGGTGCTCTCCGCCCGGCGGGCTTCGAACCCTTGGCCTCGTCAGAAGCGCTTTCAGCGCGTGGTTAGGAGCAGAACTTCCTAGTAGGTCCCAGGAAACCACCTTGGCGCTTTGCTCGCGCATCCCTTACTCTATGGAAGTCGGGTCCTTTTAGGGATTTAGATTCGTGTATGTGTGCGTGTGTGTGTGTGTGTGTGTGTGTGTGTGTGTGTCGCTCTACATCAAACACGGGGGTAAAGAATCTGGCGTGAACAAAGTGGATTTAAAGTCCTTCCCTGAGCGCATCGATCGGTTTCTTCATCTGTGAAATGGACATGATAACGTCCCAGGGTGCGGCGGGGCATTCATGCCCAGCACCCAGCAAGCACTCCGCGGTAAGTTCGGTTACGCATAAATCAGATCTCAAATCAGCGCACAAACGGGAGGCGCTTGGCCCGGCGCGCCAGGTCTGCATTACAGGATAATGGTCTCTTTCCCAACCAGGGGTGGGGGCGAGAGACCTGACCCCTCCCCCACGGTTTCCCCAGGGAGCAGCCGTGGGGTGCCCTGAGCAGCGTTCCGAGGTGCCTGTGACGGTGCGTGGTACTGCAGGTCCTTCCCAACAGAGCAGGTCTGGCTGCTGGCAACTCGGGCGCTGCCGGAGTGGGGTGGGCGGGGACGAGGTGGGCGGGGCCGGGACCCGAACCGGCGGAGGTAGGTCAGCGGGTGGAAGGATTGCCCCTCTAGGGCCGGCCGGCTTCTGGCTTTCCTTTTGAATGGGTTACCTGGAGAACAGCTTGTCTAGGGAACTGTTGGCCCTGGAACCGTGAACAGCTTTCACACCCCAGAAACCTGTCGCAGGAGGGTCCTGACCTATTGGGACAGAGCCCCTGTCCCTCCAAATATCTCACTTCACCAATTGAGAGGTACCCCCAGACTGGGAGAAAAGGCCAAAGGAAGAGAAAGAGAGGAGGCTGGTGGTGAATCTGCTCCTCATGGCTTCGGAGCTGACAGCTCCCTGTTCAGGTATCTGGGGTCTGCCCCACTGATCCAGAGCCCAGGAGCCTCAGGGAGCCCCTAGCCTAGGGAGGGAGTCAGGGATACTCATGACAAGTGTTGCAGAATTGGCGATACAGTCAGGCCACACCACTTGCTGGCTGTGTGACCTGATTTCTCTGAGCCTCAGTTTCTTCATCTGTAAAATGTGATGATGACCTCCAAAGGCAAGGTGGGGTATTTGTGCCTAGCACATTTAGTACTCTATAGTAAGTTATGTCACAGGGCTTAGGCGAGAACATAAGAAAGGAAGTAACTCAGGAGGTCCTGCTAAGAAAAGAGTATTGGAGTATTCATCAGGGAACTGGAGTCCCCCCAGGGGACAGGGGAGGAAGGGTGTCTGGGCAGATGGAAACGCACAGGCAAAGGCACAGAGACAGAAGAGTGTCTGGGGTGTGCTGGGCTGGGGAAGGTGCTCAGGCAGTGGAGGGTGCGGAAATGTAAAGGGAATGGAGGGTCTGGAGTGAGCTGGACTGGACAGGTGGGGCTTTTCTTGGAATCGTTCAACATATGTTGGCTGAGCACCTTCTGTGGGCCAGGCACTGTTCTAGGTGCTCAACAAAGATGAACGACATGGAGAAAGATGTCCCTTTCATTCAAGTTCTCTAAGCAGGGAATTCATCTGATCCCATCCATACATTAAGAAGATAATCCTGGCTGCCTGGAAGTAGGTGAGGATCCTAGAGAAGACTCCTAGGAGCGAGAGGCTGGCCTGTGGGTTGGTGGGGGTGGTGGGAATGCATGGGGGAGCTGGATGGGAGGCCAATACAGGAAGCAGAGAGTAACATGTGGCCTTCACTCATGACTGCTGGTCAAGGGTAAGACTCTGGGGTTCTACATGAGGCCCAGACTGCCAGCCTGGTCTTCTGCCAGAGAGAAGTAGTGAGTGAGTGTCTGGGATATTGGCAGGACCCAAGCCCCTCCAGCTGCGACTTTCTGGTTCTCTGGCTCCAGATGTCACGAGGCCTGGGAGTTTCTCTGTCTGCGTGAGGGATGGGAAAGCTGGAGGCAGAGGCCAGCTGGAGCTTCTGAGGCTCCCGTTTTAATAGGATGTGTTTGTGGTCAGTGTTCCTCCCTCCCTCTGCAGGGCTGGCTGTAAACCCCTCAGACCTCTTGGGCTGGAAGAGGCCAGAGTGTGAGGAGCTTTAGTGTGGATTCTCTTCCTCCAGCCCCAAATTATGGTGGGAGTCATAGGAACGAGAAGTATTGTCTCCCTCAGTGCCGGGAAAGTTGCAGAAGTGTAGATGCCTTCTGACTTGGGATGTGGTATGGGGGCTGCTTCTGGCCGCTGACTTTTGCTTTCGCTTTTGTTTCTGCTCTGAAGCTTGGAGGAATCCTCCTTGCCGTGAAAGCTGTGAGAATCCTCCATGCTTTAAGTCTCCCTTTGCTTGGAGGGAAGAGGAAGATCCCAGAATGTCTCAGGTGCGGAGGACCTTCAGGTCATCAGAGACATCATTCTCATTTGACAAACAAAACTCAGAGAGGGAATGGAACTTACCCAAGGACACACAGCAGTTCAGCAGCAGAACTGGGACTGGAACCCAGCCCTCCTGACTCCCTTCTAGGGTCCTTTGTGTTCACCCAGGAGGCCTGGCCACATTTAGGACCAAGACTCTTTTGGGCCCCAGATTTCTCAGCCTCTCAGTCTTTCAAGTGGCTCCGTGGAGTTGAGCTCCTCCCCAGGCTGGACAGGTGGCCCAGCCTACCCTGCCAATGTTTTATTCTCCCTTCGCCTGGATTGAGCCCTCGCTGCCATGGCCACCCCTCCTGGGAGCTCTTGCTCCTGAGAAAGAAACAGGCCATTTGTTTGGAAGAAACAAGCCACCTACCTGTTTGGTTTCCCAGTACCAGGCCACACAGCCCTGTCCCTCCCAGACGGCCCCAAGATGCTGACCAGAGACAGCCCTCTGAGGGTCTCTCCTGAGCTCCCCTGACCCTCGACTCCTCCTCCCCTCAGCTCCCGTCTCAAGACTGCTGGTTTGCCCTTGCCTTCTATCTGTGATGTTCACTTGGGCGGAGCAACCTAAAGTCTCCACATTCTCTCTTGCCCTGGATTTATCAGACTTAGCAGCCCTTAAACCTGAATGCTGGAAGCTTTAGATCTTAGAATATCAGGGCCAGAGGGATCTTAGCCATCAGAAAATCCACTCTGCTTATTTGACAACTGGGGAGACCAAGACCCAGGGAAGAGGAGACTCACCTGAGATCACAGCTGGGACCCGAATCCGAGGTTCCGGAGTTTGTCTGGAATGATTTTGAGGATGATTCTTGAAAAACAAAACAGAGCACCCTCCCCCTCCAAGATCCCCTTTCTCTCTGCACTCCACACTACCAGGTGTTTTTGTGGTGTCCGTGGCGACATGGCCAGGAGGAGTGAGGACTGAGGGTCCTGAAAGATGAGGCGTGCACATTGAGGAGTGTATCTGCGCATTTCCAGGTCCTGTCTGTTCAAACTGGCATTAACACCATGGCAGGAGCTAGTGAGTGCATTTATCTGGCACTCCCTTAGCCAGACTTGATAATGTGCCTTTGGATGGCAGGCTTTTAAAGTTGTTTTCGTCCCCAGATTACAAAAGAAGTACGTGTTCCTTGTAAAAACGAGCAGATGACATTGTGAAGGCTGGCGACCACCGTTAATATTGTGGCGTTTTATTCAGGTTTTTGTTTGCTGAGCTGTTTCATGTCCTGGTTTGTTGTTGTTTTGTTTTTGAAAAAATAGAGACAAGGTCTCTGTGTGTTGCCCAGGCTAGTCTCGAACTCCTGGGCTCAAGTGATCCTCCCACCTCAGCCTCCCAAAGTGCTGGGATTCCAGGCAAGAGCCACTATGCCCAGCCCGTATCTTGGTTTTTCAATTCGTCGTTACAGTGCCTGTTATCTTCATGTGATAATATGAGTGACTTCACACAGGGTCTAACCTGTGGGTCTCACGTGTTTCCACCCCTTGATGGCTAGCAGGAATTCCCTTGGCCTAAACCCTGTGACGCTGTGCAAAGTGCAAAGACATTTCTGATTCGCCACTGTGGGAGTCCAGAGGGCCAGTTTTCTGCATCACTGTGGGGTTTGGGAAAGCAATTCTCTCTGAACTCTTAGAAATGGAAGCCATGGGCTATCCGGGCGTGATGGGTGTGACCCAAATTCACACAGAGGGAGGAAGACAGCTTTGTTTCTTCTGACTTTTACGTATTTATTTATTTTTGCTGTGTTTGTTTTAACCCATCCAAGTGCTGCCACCCCACCATCACTGCCCGTTGCCCCACATCTCCCTGGGATTAGGCATGGGGTTAGGCAAGTGCAGGTCTCTAGAAAAATCAGTATTTGGCATACTCATCTCCAAACCCTGGCTCTTGCAGAGTAGGTGTTTCAATGGCAAAGATGTGCAGAGAATTTGTTTCCTAGTGGGGTGATTCAGGTAGGACACCCCACCCTGGGGACAGGATGGGGTGCGGTCTCTGTCACTGTCTACCAGGATCACAGCTTTGTTAATGCCATAAATCATCAGTACTGGAAGTACTAGTGTCTTGGAGATTTTCTAAGCTCATGTTTACAGACTGTGGACAGCCACTTCTTAGTGGATTTTGGCATCGTTAAGTGGTTTTCCGCTGGCTTTTCAAAAGTGAAGTAGGAGACAGTGGACTAGAAAATAGAATACATTTCCTGTGGCGAGAAATATTCACTAGTCAAACTTTCAGTTACCTGTTTGTGGATGTGCACTGAGTCACTAGGTAAAAATGTATCTCCTACCGCACGGTAAGAACCTTGGGCAATGTAGCTCCGGTTCACTGGTTTTTATACTGTGATCCTGGGAAACCTTGGGTGGGTCCTAGAAGCCACTCAGGGGTTTGCAGGGACAGAGCTGAGTGGTAGAGGTGGGGCCAACAGGAAGGAAGCTCGGCTTATGCTAAGGATACAAAACATCCACTTTTAAAACTCTGTGACTTTAAAAATAAAACAGAAAGTTGGAAACCATTGTTCATCTAGCCTCCTCAATTCTTAAAAGAAGAAACGGAGGCCACAAAACAGAGAGGCTGGGGCCTTTGCTGCGGGAGTAGGTGGCACTCAGGCCTCACATTGAGGAGAATCTGCAAATGTGGGCCCTTGACCCCTCCACAAATGAGTGACTCAAAACACACGTTCACAATGCAGGCTGTGACCCCTATAGGCCCCACTGTTGTGTGCACCAGGAATTCACGTTTATCCCAAAGCCTGTCACTCTCACGCCAACAGCCCAGTTTATATTGCTGAGATGCACAAAGCATTCATTTTTTCAATGCCACATTTCAAACAAAGAAGTGTTAATAACCCTGTTCTGGCATTTCTTTTTCTGTTTTGTTTTGTTTTGTTTTTTGAGACAGAGTCTTGCTCTGTCGCCAGGCTGAAATGCAGTGGTACAATCTTGGCTCACAGCAACCTCCACCTCCCGGGTTTAAGCGGTTCTCCTACCTCAGCCTCCCGAGTAGCTGGGATTACAGGCACATGCCACCATACCCAGCTAATTTTTTTTGTTTTGTTTTGTTTTTTGAGACGGAATCTCGTTCTGTCGCCCAGGCTGGAGTGCAGTGGCGCGGTCTCAGCTCACTGCTCACCTCCCGGGTTCATGCCATTCTCTTGCCTCAGCCTCCTGAGTAGCTGGGACTACAGGCACCGGCCATCACGCCCGACTAATTTTTTTGTATTTTTAGTAGAGACAGGGTTTCACTGTGTTAGCCGGGATGGTCTCGATCTCCTGACCTCGTGATCCACCCGCCTCGGCCTCCCAAAGTGCTGGGATTACAGGCGTGAGCCACTGTGCCCGGCCTAATTTTTGTATTTTTAGTAGAGACTGGATTTCACCATGTTGGCCAGGATGGTCTCGATCTCTTGACCTCGTGATCTGCCTGCCTCAGCCTCCCAAAGTGCTGGGATTACAGGCATGAACCACCACACCTAGCCTTCTTCTTTTCTTAATGTCCCCAGAGCTTTACCACTGGAAGCTTCCCAGGCCCATCCCCTGACCCGAGAGGCCTTTGAGATGATAAATCCAGGATCACCAAATCCTGGCAGAACCTGGCAGAATGAGAACTCACCACATGGGGCAAGTTCTTGTTTTTAAGATCATGGACTCACATACTGTGCAGTTTTCCATGTCTCCAGGAGGTTTTGCTATTTCCTCTACTCAACAGGTAAAATTAGGTGGCTCTAAATCTTGGGGAATTTTATGTCTTTTCTGTATTTTTCTCCTCACGTCTGGTCTAGGGAGGGGTGCAGAGAAGCGGGTGGGATTTACTTGCCTTATCTTATCCTATGTTTTCCTGGTTAGACCTGTGCTGGTTAGGGTGTGGGGCATGGTTTGTTGATATTTGGTGCAGGAAAATGACTTTGTTTTTGTTTTATTTTATTTATTTATTTATCTATTTATTTTGAGACAGAGTCTCACTGTGTTGCCCAGGCTGGAGTGCAGTGGTGCAATCTTGGCTCATTGCAACCTCTGCCTCCTGGATTCAAGCGATTCTCCTGCCTCAGCCTCCAGAGTAACTGGGACTACAGGCACATGCCACCATGCCTGGCCAATTTTTGTATTTTTAGTCCAGATAGGGTTTCACCATATTGGCCAAGCTGGTCTTGAACTCCTGACCTCAAGTGATCCCCCTGCCTTGGCTTCTCAAAGTGCTAGGATTACAGGCGTGAGCCACCACACCCAGCCAGAACATGATTTTAAAAAACAAAACAAACACGCAAACTTTCTTAAGTTACATAGGATACCTCACCTACAGCTTCATTAAAACCGCCTGCACTTTGGAGAGAAGCCGTTAGGTACTGGAACTGCCTGTGGGTAATTATTGTTTCCAAACAGTAATTCTCTTCTTTTGGGGAAAATTGCCTGTAGCTAAACACAGGCGCCATCACTTTAAACAAATCTTCTGATACATATGGTGTGCCAGGCACTGAGCCCAGGAACAAGGGAGAGTCAGGCCCTGCCCCCCACCCCGATGGAGCTGATCCCCCGCCGGGGACAGCAGGGACTGTACCGTAACAACATGTGAATAAAGATGACGAAGCACAGCCCACAAAGGAGGAGGCTTAACCCAAACTTGGAGAGTCAGGAAGGATTTTCAGAAACAGTGCAGTCTGAGCTGAAATGGGGAGCGGGGAGGGGTGATGCAGCCGCCGCCAAAGGTCTTCCTGAGGAGGTAACTGCGTGTGCAAAGGCCCCGAGGTGTGAGACAGCTTCATTCACACAGGCCAATACTGAGTGTAGAAACGCTACCCTCAGGGCAGATGCTGATGGCACAGGTGGAAACAGTATTTTATATAGTTTCTTCCTAAAAGTCATTTTGGGGGCTGGGCATGGTGGCTCATGCCTGTAATCCCAGCACTTTGGGAGGCTGAGGAGGGCGTATCACTTGAGGTTAGGAGTTCATGACTAGCCTGGCCAACATGGCTGAAACCCCGTCTCTACTACAAATACAAAAATTAGCCGGGTGTGGTGGCGCGCGCCTGTAGTCCTAGCTACTCGGGAGGCTGAGGCACAAAAATCGCTTGAACCTGGGAGGCAGAGGTTGCAGTGAGCCGAGATGGCACCACTGCACTTCAGCCTGGGCAACAGAGTGAGACTCCCTCTCAAAAAAAATAAATAAATAAAATAAAAAAGGTCATTTTGGCTCTGGCAGTTTCTCAAAATATTAAAATCAAATCACTGTGGGATCCAGCAGTTTCACTTCTGGGTGCATACTTGTCTTAGTCCATTTGTATTGCTGTAAAGAAATACCTGAGATTGGGTAATTTATAAAGAAAAGAGGTTTATTGGCCGGGTGCGGTGGTTCACACCTGTAATCCCAGCACTTTGGGAAACCGAGGCGGGCAAATCACGAGGTCAAGAGATTGAGACCATCCTGGACAACGTGGTAAAACCCAGTCTTTACTAAAAATACAAAAATTAGCCGGGCGTGGTGGTGGGCACCTGTAGTCACAGCTACTCAGGAGGCTGGGGCAGGAGAATCACTTGAACCTGGGAGGCTGAGGTTGCAGTGAGCTGAGGTGGAGCCACTGCACTCTAGCCTGGCGACAGCAAGACTCCATCTCAAAAAAAGAGAGAAAGAGGTTTATCTAGCTCACGGATATACAAGGCTGTACAAGAAGCATGACATCAGCATCTGCTTCTAGTGAGGGCCTCAGGAAGCTTCCGCCTCAGGCGGAAGGAGAGCAGGCGTCATGTGGTGAGAGAGAAGAGGAGAGAGGGAGTGGGGAGCAGACTCTTTAACAACCAGATCTTTGGGTACCAAGCCATTCAACAGGGATCCACCCCTATCAACCAAACATCCACTAGGCCCTACCTCCAACATTGGGGATCAAATTTCTCTTCTTTTTTTGAGACACAGTCTTACTCTGTCACCCAGGCTGCAGTGCAGTGGCACAATCTTGGCTCATTGCAACCTCTGCCTCCTGGGTTCAAGCGATTCTCCTGCCTCAGCCTCCCGAGTAGCTGGGATTACAGACATGTGCCACCTTGTCCAGCTAATTTTTGTATTTTTAGTAGAGATAGGGTTTCACCATGTTGGCCAGGCTCGTCTTGAACTCCTGGCCTCGAGTGATCCACCAGCCTTGGCCTCCCAAAGTGCCGGGATTACAGGCGTGGGCACTGTATCCAGCTTGGGGATCAAATTTCAACGTGAGATTTGGAGAGGACCAATGTCGAAACTATATCAATACTCAAAAGAATTGAAAACAGGTTTTTGAAGAGATATTTGTACATCCATGTTTATATGAGCATTACTCATAGTAGCTAAACTAGGAAAACAAACGAAGTATCCATCAAAGGATGAATAAACAAAATGTGGTCTAGCCATACAATGGAATATGATTCAGCCTCCATGTGGAAGGAAATTCTGACATCGTGCTGTAACATGGACGAACCTTGAGGACATCATGCCAAGTGAAATAAGCCAGTCACAAAGAGGCAGATACTATATGATTCTACTGGTATGAGGAACCTAGAGCAGTCGACATCATAGAGATGGAAAGTAGAATGTCAGTTGCCAGGGGCAGGGGGAAGGGCAATGGGGAGTTAGGGTTTAATGGGTAAGGAGTTTCAGTTGTGTAAAATGAAAGCGGTCTGTGAATGCATGATGGTGATGGTTACACAGCAGTATGAATGTACTTAATGCCGCTGAACTGTTCATGGAAAAATGGTTAAGATAGTCAACTTTATGTTATGTGCATTTTATCACAATAAAAAGTTGGTGGTGGGGAGTCATTTTGGAAACAAGACTCAGATAGTCATTCGGCCATATCATTCATTGCGTTCTCTCTACAGACCAGGTGTCCTTCCAGGCTTTGGGGGAAAACGGTGCTAAGACAGGCTCAGTTCCTGCCTTCTTGGAGCTTACACCTTATTAGGCAGCAGGGAAGAGTCAGTCAAGTAGGAAACCAACAAGTAAAATCACAAATCAATAACATGTTCAAATGCACTGATCTGAAATCTTTGCCACTTCCCTACTGCTGGCAGGATCAAGCCAAGGCTAAGCTCTTTACTTTCAGTAATGCCCGGACTTCTTAGAGTCGGCCTCAGTTAATCTTTCCAGACCTATTACTGCTGCCTTACCCCAAGTTCAACTGCATCAGTCACAAGGAACCACTTTCCACCCCCACCTACCTCGTACCCCTGCTCAAAGCCAGGAACTTTGGTGGCTTTTTTCCTTTCTGTTCCTTCTGCTTTTCTTTCTAGACTGCCCAGAAGTTTCAATTCCAGAAGTTTATCCTAAGAAAACAATTAATGAGTACAAGGAGTTAGTTTCAACACTGTTATTTTTTGTAATAATAGCAACAAAATTAGAAACCCCTTTTGTTTGTTTTTAATCTGTCCAGTGACAGTCCTAGCCAAGACTCTTTAAATATATTTTTGTTTAATTTTGGAATAATTTTAGATTTATAGAAAAGTTGCAAAGGTAATATGGGGCATTTTTGTCTACCCTTCACACCCAACTTCCCCT